AAGGGGATTTGGGGTAAGATGGAGAAAGGAGACAGGAAATCTGTGTGCAGTCAAGGTCCTGGAAGGAAAGGAGTGATGTCATGGAGGGCAGTGTAATGAAATACTGTATTCAAGGTTGTGAGATGGGTCAAGGGAAGCGTCAATAACAATGAAGCTATTACCAGCCATAGGCCTGAAGGGCGAGGGAAGGGCTGGTGACCAGAACCCAGAAGCCACCTGGCACTGTGGCCTTTGTAAGAGGAATACAGCTCTCAGGGGGCCCTGAGAGAATAAAACAAAGATATATTCTCCATCCATTCTCTGATCTTTTGCAATTGGCCAAACCCAGCTAGAGGACAAAGGGTGGAGGCACTCTTGATGTAGTCCATAAGGTGCAGAGCAAGGTAGGGAAGGATGGAGAGTATATTTTCAGAGCAGCTGGAGAATGTCCAGCATGGTGAGAATAACAATACATTAGAGCTTTAAGAGGTCAATGTGAGAGAAAGTTGTGTCTTGTAGCTGAATTGTTCCTAGGTTTCTGGAGGAATAGAAGCACATTATAAAAGGAATGTTCGTGTCTCCCTCAGATTCATAGGTTCTTATGCCCCAACCCTCAATGTAATGGTACTAGGAGGTAGAGCTGTTGGGAGGTAATTAGGTTTAGATGAGGTTATGAGTGTGGAGCCCCCATAATGGGATTAGTGCCATTATAAGAAGAGAAAGAGATACCACACTTTCTCTCTGCTATGGGATGACACAATGAGAAGGCGGCCATGTAGAGGGCCTCCACCAAGAACCCAACCATGATGGCACTTTGAGGATCTTGGACTTCTCAGCCTGTAGAACTGGGAGGAAAACATCAGTTTCTTAAACCACCCAGCCTTTCATATTTTGTTATGGCACCTGTCTTAGTCTATTTTGCATTGTTATAAAGGAAATATCTGAGTCTGGGTAGTTTACGAAGAATAGAAGTTTATTTGGCCCATGGTACTGCAGGTTGTAAAAGAAGCATGGTGCCAGGCTCTTTTAAACAACCAAGTCTCTGGTGAGCTAATGGAGTCAGAACTCACTCATTACTATGGGATGGCACAAAGCCATTCATGAGGAATTTGCTTCCATGACCCAAACACCTCCCACTACGCCCTTCCTCCAACACTGGGGATCAAATTTTAATGTGAGATTTAGAGGATACAAGCATCCAAACTATATCCACACCCTAAGCTAAGACAACAAGTCTAGAGATCCTAAAACTATCTTCTCTGCACAACATACACACATTCTTCATCTTAAGAGCCAGTCCCCTAGGGGAAACTACATAGGCAAAATGAACCTTTAAGACAGATATAGTATGAATGGATAAGGGAATTAATAAAAAAGGAAATGTGCAGTTTTGTTTCACTCTCAAGAGACTCTGCTTCATCACCCAATAGTAACATTTCCTTTCTCATAATGACTTCTTCCTCCCTGTCTTTCCAAAATTAGAGGTATATTTAAGAAATTATATATGTGTGTGTGTATGAAGGCATTTCTGAATATTGATTGTTAATGTAGTTGAGTTTTTACTTAAAAAGATAGTTTTTTTAAAAACTTTCAGAAAAGTTCCTGTATCTGTATTACTTTGAAGTGTTAGCCCATAGTGTCAAAACTCTGTAATTCAAAACTATGTTTAACTTGTTTGATTCTACTCATGTAATTCTGCCTGATTAAACTGTAACACTATTTCTTATAGCATATGTACATTTACAAATAGACAATTTTAAAAGAATTAATAAGCAAGCAAAAATAAATCCATGAAATTATCATTGAGATCTATGGAAATCATATTTTCTTGCTTGTTATGAATTTGTTTATTATTGAATAAATATATGTTGCCTTTCTAATTTTTTTATTTAGAAAAATAGATTTAATGGAAGAGAAAGTTCTAAGAAGACTTTAAAGTTATGAATATTTGAATATCCATAGAAGGAGAGTAAAACAAAAGGTATATTTGTGAGGACATACACTATAGATCTCTTCTCCAGTGGGAAGATGTGTATAATGGTGGCACTGAGGCATGATATAGTTGAGAAGCAGGAGCTTCAGCTGTTTGAACAGTTGGTGGAAGAGCAATTCTGTTGAAAGCAGAGTATCTGATGAAACTTTCATTTATGAGAAGAAAGTGTACCTATTGAGGGAAGCACTATTCTGGTCTTATTTCAAACTAATAAGAAAGAACATGTTCAAAACTTGGAAGTTAAGTGGCAACCTTAACTGCACATCTCAGAATCATAAAAGCAAAGCAGTTATTTATTTGGAAATCAGATTACAGGAAGGATAAGCTAACTAGCCAACTGACTAGAAGCAGCTAAATGTAATAAAATATCACAATGGAAGTAGAAAAGAGAAGAAACCTAAATAAACCAATGTTTATTGAATGTTGCAATATGACACTAAGCACACATGTTTTTGTTAAATGGGACAAAAAGAATATAACCATCCCAGGGATGTAGGGATGGTTCAACATACACAAATCTATAAATGTAATTCACCATATAAACAGAAGCAAAAATAAAGACCATATGATCCTCTCAATGGACGCAGAAAAAGCATTTGACAAAATTTGACACCCTTTTATGATCGACACCCTTTTATGATAATAATGCTCAACAAAATAGGCATAGACGGGCTTACCTAAAAATGATACACGCCATATATGACAAACCCACAGCCAATATCATACTGAATGGGGAAAAATTGAAAGCAATCCCATTTAGAACTGGAACAAGACAAGGTTGCCCACTATCTCCACTTCTATTCACATAGTGCTGGAAGTCCTTGCTACAGCAGTCAGACAAGAGAGTGGAATTAAGGGTGTCCAAATGGGAGCAGAAGAGATAAAACTCTCACTCTTTGCTGATGACATGATATTATACCTAGAAAACCCCAAGGATTCAACCAAGAGACTCCTTGAACTGATAAATGAATTTGGTAAAGTCTCAGGATACAAAATCAACACACAGAAATCAGAGGCATTCATATATGCTAACAACAGTACAAGTGAGAACCAAATCAAAGACTCAGTCCCCTTCAAAATAGCAACAAAGAAAATAAAGTACCTAGGAATATATTTAACTAAGGAGGTAAAAGACCTCTATAGGGAGAACTATGAAACACTGAAGAAAGAAATAGCAGAGGATGTAAACAGGTGGAAGAATATACCATGCTCATGGGCCGGCAGAATTAACATTGTTAAAGTGTTTATACCACTCAAAGTGACCTACAGAGTCAATGCAATCCCTATTAAAATACCATCAGCATTTTTCACAGATATAGAAAAAATAGTTTTACACTTTGTATGGAACCAGAGAAGACCCTGTATAGAAAAATCAATCCTAGGCAATAAAAACAAAATAGGAAGTATCAATTTATCAGATTTCAAACTATACTACAAGGCTATAGTAATTAAAACAGCTTGCACAAGAACAGGGACATTGACCAGTGGAACAGAACAGAGAACCCAGATATAAAACCATCCCCATATAGCCAACTAATCTTTGACAAAGCAGACAAAAACCTACACTGGGGAAAATAATCCTTATTCAATAAATGGTGCTGGAAAACTGGACAGTCACATGCAGAAGACTGAAACAAGACCCACGCCTTTCACCTCTCACAAAAATCAACTCACGCTGGGTAATAGACTTGAACATTAGGTGTGAAACTATTAGAATTCTAGAGGAAAACGTTGGAAATATTCTTCTAGACATTGGCCTCGGCAGAGAATTTATGAAGAAGACCCCAAAGGCAATCACAGCAGCAACAAAAGTAAATAAATGGGACCTGATCAAATTAAAAAGCTTCTGCACAGCCAAAGAAACTGTCAAGACAGCAAACAGACAACCCACAGAATGGGAGAAAGTTTTCCCAAGGTACACATCCAATAAAGGGCTGATAACTAGAATTTATTTAGAACTCAGGAAAATCAGCAAGGAAAAAGCAAACAACCCTATCAAAAAGTGGGCAAAGGACATGAACAGAAAATTTTCAAAAGAAGACAGAATAAAGGCCAACAAACATATGAAAAAATGCTCAACATCTCTAATCATCAGGGAAATGCAAATCAAAACTTCAATGAGATATCACTTATCTCCAATAGGAATGGCCTTTATAAAAAAGTCCCCAAACAATAAATGTTGGAGTGGATGTGGAGAGATAGGAGCACTCCTACACTGCTGGTGGGACTGCAAACTAGTGCAACCTCTGTGGAAAGCAATATGGAGATACCTTAAAGCAATACAAGTAGATCTACCATTTGATCCAGCAATTTCACTACTGGGCATCTACTCAAAAGATCAAATGACACTCTACAAATGGGATACCTGCACTCAAATGTTTATAGCAGCACAGTTCACAATCGCAAAGGTGTGGAAACAACCCAAGTGCCCATCAATTCATGAGTGGATTAATAAAATGTGGTATATGTATACCATGGAGTACTATTTAGCTTTAAGAAACAATGGTGATATAGCACCTCTTGTATTTTCCTGGATAGAGCTTTAACCCATTCTACTAAGTGAAGTATCTCAAGAATGGAAAAATAAGCACCACATGTACTCACCAGCAAATTGGTATTAACGGATCAACACCTAAGTGGACATATAGGAATAACATTTATCGGGTGTTGGACGGGTGGGAGGACAGAGGAGGGGATGTGTATATAGAAACATAATGAGTGAGATATACAATGTCTGGGGGATGGTCACGCTTGAAGCTCTGACTCAAGGGGAGAGGGGGGCATGGGCAATATACATAACTTTAACATTTCTACCCCCATAATATGCTGAAATTTAAAAAAACAACGGAAGAAAAGAAGAATATAACCAAAGACAACTGAAACAAGAGTTAAAAAGACTAGAGACTAACACAAAATGAAGCTTGAGAAAAGGTTGCCAACAAAAAATGTAAAAAGTAGCAAAGGGCGAGGGTGGTTTAAAGCTGAATTTGGTAAAAGGTGATCAACAAAAGAGAAATCATCTACTTACTAGATAGTGGTATGTTAACCAATGGTAGAGAGCAGGCTGTACAGCGAAGATTCTGTTTTACTTCTGTTCTTATCTGTTAATGAGAAGTACAAAAAAAAATAGTTAAGAGACTGTTGACACCCTTGATAAATGAAGGGAAAGTATGGCGGTGAGAGCAGGAGTTTGAAAAGATTTTTACTCTTTTCTTGGGCTATAATTACATGTGTTAAAATGCACAGATCTCAAGTTGAAAGCTTGTAGGATCCCGACAAATGTTTACAGCTAGGTGATTATCCTTTTAATCAAAATACAGAATACTGCTATCATTCTAGAATGTTCCCTACACTCCTTTCTAGTTCATCTCCATCCTCTGTCCACTGCTGATGTAACGATAATTCTAATTTCTATCACCATCAATTAGTTTGGCTGATCCTTGAACCTCATATAAATGGAATCCGATAGCATATACTCTTTTTGTCTGGTTTCTTTTGCTTAACACAATGTTTTGGAGAGTCACCCATTTTGTTATGAGAAGAGCTGTGTTTGAGTCTCAGCTCAAATACTTTGGCTATGTGACTTCCACACAGGTTTCAAGTTCCATGAGGGCAGAGATTTTTATCTATTTTGTTTGATGCCTTATTCTTAGTGCCTAGAGTAGAATCTGACACAGCATGTAGAATCTGACACATGCTCAATTTCTTAACTATACAATGAAAATAAAAATAATAATCTATACACATGTTCAAACGGATTTGTGAGACATGAATGAGGGAAAGCATCTTAAATTGTTTTGCAAACTCTAGGGTACCTTCTCTAGGCAACCTTTTATTACAAACACACCATGAAGTCTTTGAGGATATCAACCATGCCTTATTGATCTCTGATGCCTTCATATCCAGCAACCACAGCAATAGATATACAGTGGGAAGGCAATAAATGTTTCTTGAACAAACTTCAGTGTGTTGTGAGAATCTCAAGTTACTCTGTGTAGCTTTGACAGCAAACAAATAGAATGAGTGTTCATTGAGTGTCTACTAGGTACTTTTTTAATGTTAAGGTGCCTCATGTGGGAAAACTGCTTATATCATAACTATTTGGCAATAAGTAATTGTGAGAGTTCGTACTAGGCTAATGGTGGGTCCACTGGACTGGGTTGAGCTGAGAGAGAGGTGCTTGAAATGGAGCTGGAGGTGTACCAGATTGAGTCCTCCAAGAAACAGGCACCAAGATGGGATTAGACACTAGATGTGCAAGAAATTTGTTGGGGGAACACCTGTGCGGGAAAAAGGCAAGGAGGGCTAGAGACGGTAGGAGAATAATCAGACCATAGTGCAATGGAAGGAAGAAGGGAAGGAAGGAGAATTGAGTTGGAAGAGTCTCAGACTGCTGCAGAGTTGTAGGAGAGTTTGCTGGCCTCAGCATCCCTGCCATGCTCAGTTGTTGGCTGGCATAGCCCATGGGAAGAGTGGCCTCAGCAAGAATGGGGTGGTGGCTTCAGGGAGCAGCAGCCAGGGCCATCTGTCAAAGAAGTAGGAGATGTGAATGGTGCAGTTTTATTGCTGCCACAATGGCTTTTGGTGCCCATGGGATTAGAAGCAGTATTCCAATTTGCAATGCTAGGGAGCCAACTAATCCTGAGAAGTGTGATAGAGACACAGTGAATGATAGGTGAGGAATCATAACCTGGAAGTGTGGACCAAGGAGGAGCCAGACTTTTGGAAGTTAAAATAAGTGAAATAGGGAATGGCTGGAAGAGACCCATATATGCTGAGTGAAATTAATTGAACAATGAGTTGAGGAATATATCAAATTATGTAGAATTTGAAGCTTCAGGTTTTTTTCAGTGTGGCAAAATAATTGTGCACTTAAAAATGCTTAGTGCAATGTCTTGTGCCAGAATCTGGAGAATCTAGAGGGCATCAAAGAGATTAAGAGGGGAATGGCTTTTATCAAAAAGTCCCATGGATGTAGAGAGATAGGAATGCTCATACACTGCTGGTGGGACTGCAAATTAGTACAACCTCTATGGAAGATAATATGGAGATAACTCAAAGAACTAAAAGTAGAACTACTATTTGATCCAGCAATCTCACTACTGGGTATTTACCTAAAGGATAAAAAGACAATTTATAAAAAAGACACTTGCATTCAAATGTTTATGGCAGCACAATTCACAATCACAAAGATGTGGAAACAACCCAAGTGCCCATCAATACATGAGTGGATCGATCAAATGAGGGCTACTCAGCCATAAAAAATAGTGAACTAATTAATACCTTTAGTAACAACCTGGATAGAACTAGAGAGCATACTTTAAGTGAAATACCACAAGAATAGAAGAACAAAACCCATATGTACTCACTACTAAATTGACGCTTATAGATCAACACTCAGGTGCACATATGGTAGTAAAATTCAATGGAAATCAAGCACGTGAGGAGGAAGTGATAGGTAAATTCACACCTAACAGGTGTGAATTCACACTATATGGGTGATGGACACACTTATAACTTTGACTCAAACAAAAGCAATTCACATAATCAAAACGTTTGTACCCCCGTAATATTCTGAAATTTAAAAAAACTAAATAAACAAATTAAAATCAGAAGTAAAAACATATGTCACTATTAAATATAATGTCAGCTGTGGATTTCTCTTATTAAATTGAGGAAGTTCCCTTCTATTCCTAATTTGCTGGGAGTTTTTTTTTTTTTTATCATGACTACTGTTTAATTTTTGTCAAATGTTTTTTCTTTATCTATTGAAATAATCATATGATTTTTTTCTTTATTCTGTTTATGCAATTACATTGATGAATTTTGAATTTTGAGTCAATTTTGCATCCCTGGGTTAAAGTCCCCTTAGAAATAGTGCGATATTTTTATTAGAATTTGCTGGATTTGATTAGCTAATATTTGTTGAAAATTCTCTTCTCTATTCATGAGAGATGCTATTCTGTTCATTTTGAGACTGAAATTTCAGTTTATTTCCTACAGTATCCTCTGTCTAATTCTACCTCATCTATATGCTGATCTGTACCAGGGTTTTGACTTTCTGTTTCAATTTATAGCTTCTGTGAATTCTATTCTTCCTCCCTCTAGTGTTTAATGCTGGCTGTTGCTTTCTTATTGATTTTATCTTTCCCTATTGCCAGCTACAGAAAATCCACAATCTCTATGAACGTATTTGCTCAAAGTTTACATTAAGGACTAAGATCTTCACTCTAAGAACCTCAATCTGTTTCCTATACTCTTGATCTAGGATTTATTTAGATGTTTATACATAATTACTTTCATAACTGATAAAATATATTTTTACTTGGTTTGTTACACAATACCCTAATTTACATGTTTCCCTTCATTTCCTCAGAGTTGATAAACTTCTATTCTAGTATTTTCTGTTATTGGGAACTCCACATTTTATTGTCCAAATCAGAAAAATGTGGTTCTACCTCTCTGTCATTCTCTATTTTGGATTCATAACCAAACATTACTGATTCTATATCTTAAAAATCTCTCAAATCCATCTTCTCTTCTGCATCCTCTCCATCATTGCCTTCAGATGCTCACCCTTTCTATCCTGGATCACTAAAATCATCTTCTCACTGGTTTCATGTGCCACTTTCCAAGTGGCCATTCATATTACCATTTGATTGAACTTTCTGGAAAGCAAATTTGCTTCTCTGCTTAAAATTATTTAATGTTCCATTTTTGCCTTAGAATAAAACATGAACTCTTTAGTATAATTCCCAAATTCTTCAAGATCTGTTCCATATTAAAGAAATGTCCAAAATGGATTTGAGCTGAAAACAAGTTCCATATAACTTAGCAAAATGAAAAGCTCTAACAGCTTCTGTGCAATAACCCTCCCTAATCAACATTTCCTCAACTGCAGCACAACTAAGATTTTTACACTTAGGCATAGCTAAGATGGTGGCAACCATTCTATTCCCACTATTGTGAGGGTCACTAATTACATATCCAATTAAAAAAGAAATACTTTGTCAAGATATTCATATTTCTCTGTCTCTAAATCTGCTTAGCTTATGTGAGGCAAAAAGTCTCATGACCCTAAGGGAAAATTTGTTTTAATGGTGTTCACATAGAAAATTAGGATGCATTTGATGAAATGCCAATGATTGGCTAGGTGTGATGGCTCATACCTGTAAACCTAGCACTCTGGGAGGCCAAGGCCGGAGGATTGCTTGAGGTCAGAAGTTTGAGACCAGCCTGAGCAAGAGTAAGATCCTGTTTCTATGAAAAAATAACTAAATAAAATAGAAAACATTAGCTGGGCAAGTAAAAATAGAAACAAAATTTTTTCCAGTGGTAATGGCCAGCACCTGTAATCCCAGCTACTTGGGAGGCTGAGGCAGAGGATTGCTTGAGCCCTGAAGTTTGAGGGGGCTATGAGCTAGACTGATGCCACGGCACTCACTCTAGCCTGGGCAACAAAGAAAGACTCTGTCTCAAAAAAAAAAAAAAAAAAAGCCAATGATTGAAACTAAACAATTGTTTCAGCTCAAATCTCCCTTCATTACTGATCCCTTATCCTGGTTCTGAAGTCAGAAAAGATCCATTCTTCTTTTGTGTTCCAAAAGCCCCTTTAAATCTCACATTGCTTTGCTTTGCAGTTAATTTTTTTCTGTATCTGTTTATATAAAAGGCTGAAGTTTTTGAGGCCAGGATACTTTTGTATTTACCCATAATGTCTCATGCAGAATCTGGCTAAATGATGGAACTTAATAAATATGAACCAAGTTCATGCCAAGACTAAAAGCATAGGAGTTTAGATATGGAGCTGTCATAAACATGAACATTTTAGAATGCCAGCTTTGGAACCTCTGTAGGTTATTGCATGTCTCCCTATTCCCCAAATCCAGAGTCACATGGATCAAATACGTGCCATTAATAGAAATGCAAATGCAAGAATATAAAGAACAGTTTCCTGGATGTGTATTACTTAGAATTTGGTACTTGTTTATATGTAAGTCATTTTTACTGAGGTTTTATTGGGTAATACTCATGTCTTACCAACAAAGCCAATACTCCTGGTTTTTCTATCATCTTAGACCTCAGGTATTTGATTTTGGTATGTTATTATTTTTCATTGTTTGCTATCATTGAAGTAATTTTGAAAATAGAAAATATTTTGTTTTTCCTTATTTTTCATTTTGTCCAACAATAATTGTGTGAATTAAATTTTTTTCATATGGGTGGAGAAAAATTTTAATGAACAATTTGAAATACATTTTGCATGTGGCTAACATATTTATTACAAAATCTTCCTTTGCTTTTTACTTTAATCTTGGATATAAAACAGGCATCTTAAAAGCAGAATTCTAGCAGATGCA